CTGCCTGCCTGCCTGCCTGCATTCCTGCCTGCCTGCCTGCCTGCTTGCTTGAGCGCTGCATGTGTCGTGTGACAAATCGATTATAAACATTCCACAGACGGAGCGCGCATTCGATTATAAGCGAGTAAAGTGGAAAAAAATGATGGAAGAGTGGGTTTCGTCGCTGCTGTGTGATATCCCGGACATTCCAGCCTTAATGGCGGGTCAGCAGCGGTGGTCGGGCGATCTCTGGGGGAGAGGGGGAGGGGGTCGGTGTGATGGGTGTTCAACCATTATCCCACTCTCCCTCGCGCGCACGTTCGCTCGATACTAATGGATTTTTTTCGCGGGTAATAATGCTCGCTCAAGCCAGTTTTTCGGATTAATTCACCGAGAACAAATTGTGGTGGGTGCGTGCGTGCGTGCGTGCGTGCGTGCGTGCGTGCGTGCGTTCGTGCGCGTGAGAGCGTTCACAGCATTGTAAATCGCATAGCAGTAATGCGGCCATTACTTATAATCGTTTCCATTTTGTTGGGTAGATTTAAAACCATTAAACTTATTAATGCGATCATATAGATGTTAGTCTTTATTAGCACACACGCTTTATAACTAATAATTTATCACTAATAAAATATTTAACAGCCATCGTCGCGACGAACACTAACCGACACTCTCTTGTTATTTTCGTTTCTATGGCAAACGCCGGTAAAGGACGACACAAGCTTCTTGCTGACGTCACTATAGCAGACGTTCTATTGTCTTCCTCTATATCCGACGTTCTCTTGTTTTCTCTATAACCGACGTTCTCTTGCCATGTCTATGTCTTTGGCACGCGCTGACGTCACTACAAAGCACGTTCTCTTGTCCTCCTCTATAACCGGCGTTCTCTTGTCTTCCTCAATAACCGACGTTCTCTTGTCATGTCTGTCTGTGGCACGCGCTGACGTCACTATAACGCACGTTCTCTTGTCTTGCAGTGGCTGGAGGAGAGCTACCCGCACTATGACGAGTACAAGCAGCTGATCAGCTGGCGTTCGTACGTCGTCTGCGACGTTAACCAGGCCGACGTCAACAACTGGCTGCGTACGCCGTTCATCGAGCGCGGCGCCGCGGAGCGACTCTACATCGAGGTGAAGTTCTCCATGAGGGACTGCACTCACTTCCCGGCCACCGTACGCTCGTGTAAGGAAACATTCAGCTTGCTCTACTACGAGTCCGAGTTCGATTTCGCGGACGAGGCGATGCCGACGTGGAACGCGCGCACGTACTCGATGGTGGACCGGATCGCAGCCGACGAGGGTCGGTTCAGCGATAACAACGAGGTCGTTATCAACACGGAGGTACGCAGTGTGGCTGCGAGTAAGCGCGGGGTGTATTTCGCCTTTCACGACGAGGGCGCGTGCATCTCGCTGCTCGCCGTGCGCGTGTACTACGTGACGTGTCCAAACATCACGCTCAACCACGCGTTCTTCCCCGAGACTCCCACGGGCCGTGAAGTGTCGTCGATAAAGCAGACGATCGGTGGGTGCGTGCCGAACGCGGCGCAGAGCCGTACGCCGTCCTACCTGTGCACGGGCGGCGGGCAATGGGACCTGCTGACCGGAGGGTGCGAGTGCGTGGCCGGATACCAGGCCATCGGTCAGCAATGCGAAGGTAGGTGCCGATGTAATTATGTGTGCGTGTGGGTGGGATGGGTGTGTGTGTTGTGTGGTGTGGGGTGGGGGGGCGAGGGGTTTGTGTGTGTGTGTGTGTGTGTGTGTGTGTGGCGCGCGCGCAGCGGTGTGTGTGTGTTGTGTGTGGTGAGTGCGTGCGTGTCGTGCGGTGCGTGCGTGCGTGTGTGTGTGTACGTGGTGTATGTGTTTGTTTGCGTTCGTGCGTGCGTGCGTGTTGAGCGCGATGGTAATGAAATTGTACACGCATACGTGTTTAAACGTGGTTTGAATTTGATCATAAGATAAATTCGCGAGTCGTCATCGTTGTCGTTCTGACGACAATACGGACCGGGCTGTCATGCATTAGTTTTCCGCTTTGTTAGCCGACCCGTTAAATCGTGAAGACTGTATTTCACGGCGAAGTGTGTAATGCGCGTCCGTGATGATAGATAAATATATGTGAGTTAAGTAAACGACGTACAGGTCAGTGTGACATGGGCACACTGTATATTGCGTGCGTACCTGTGGCGTGCGTCGTTGGCCGCTGGGCGATTGTGTGCTGCGTGCGTGTGCGTGCGTGCGTGCGTGTGCGATGGTGTGCGTGCGTGGCGTTGCATGCGTGAAGAGAAATATTGCGACGAGAGAGAGAGGATGTGGGTGTGTGTGTTTGTGTTGCATGCGTGCGTGCGTGGCGTGCGTGCCGTGCGTCCGTGCGTGCTCGTGGCGTGCGTGCTGAAGGAGAAATAATTGCGAGAGAGAGAGAGAGAGAGAGACAGGACACAGAGAGAGTGGTTGTGTGGTCTGTTCTGGGTTTGGGCGTGCGTGCGCGGCGTGCGTGCGTGGCAGCTGAGTGCGCGCAGGTGTGTGTGTGTGGTCTCAACAATACAGCGATGAGGTAGAATGATCAATGACCGGATGTGTATGGCGAGACACAGAATCAATCGCGTGGAAGGAAAGCGCTGACGCACTGGTACACAGGCGCGCCGCGCGTCCTGAATTTCCCGCCTCAACGGTGTTATCGTGCAATTGAGAGCCGCTGCAGGCCAAACAAAGCACATCCCGGGCCGATACGCTATGTAAACAGAACATCACAGGCACGGGCGTTGATTAATGCTGAACTCGCGCGCAGCTGTGGTGTATATAGCACTCGGCCAAAGTCAGTGTCACATGGCGAAAGTGAGTGTGTGTGTGTTGTGTGCGTGGCGTGCGTGCCGTGCGTGGCGTGGCGCTGCGTGCGTGCGGTGCGGTGCGCGCGCGTGCGTGTGTGTGGTGTGTGTTGTGTGCGTGCGCGGTGCGTGTCGCGTGCGTGCGTGTCGTGTGGTTGAGTGTGTGTGAACGTGCATCGTGTTGGTAGAAGTGAAGTATAGGCTGCCGCGTGTAAACGCGTGTGTACATGATGCATACACTTATTCTCAAGTCGCTTGACCAACTGACTGCCGCGCGTCGTGGTAACTGCGAAAGTGCAGACGCGTCTCGCCCCCACCGCATTCTCCGCCCTTCCCCCCTCCCCCGCCTTGCTCCCCCTCCGCACCGTTTGTTCTCCCCTCCCCGCGCCTTCTGGAGGGGCCCAGCCTTCATCCCGCTTCCCCTTCTCCTCCCCCGCGCGACGACATTAATGATGAATCGAGTGGTCTTGCTAATCCTTCCCGGAAATTTATAACACTATTAACCGGCCCCTTCTATATTATAGAAGAGCTATTATCGAGAGTAAGGAGGCGGCGGGCGGACGCACCTGTTGGCAAGGTGGGCGATGTTTTGTCCGTTTTAATTATTCACGCCGCCATTAAATGCGCGGCGAGCGAATAAAAACGCGCCTGTCCCGCATAGCGCGGCTCATACATTCGCACACGCGACGCGACACACCGCACGCACAGCGCGCACACACAACCACGCACACACACCACGCGCGCGACGCAACGAGGCTGCTGGCTGATGCGAGATGGTGAAGAGAACGAGAGAAAAGAAGCGCAGCGAGGCGATTTTGAACGAGAGTTGAAAGAGGGGGAGAGGAGAGAGGGCAGAACGATATATATATATGATATAAGTAATAATATAATGATATAATATGTATAATATATGATATATATATAGAGAGTAGAGAGAGAGAGAAGAGAGAAGAGAGAGAGCGAGGTGAAAGAAAGAGAGAGAGAAGCGCGAAGGGAAAGAAAGAGAGACAGACAGAGAGCGCGGAGAGAGAGAGAGAGACAGACAGAGAGCGCGAGGAGAGAGAGAGAGACAGACAGAGAGCGCGAGAGAGACGTGTTTCAGTAGGTCCCGTCGCGTCGTCGTCCTCGCCTCCCCCGCCTGCCCTCCTCGCCCCCTCCCTCCTCCCTCCCTCCCGTCCCTCCCCCGCTCGCCTCGCCCCTCCCCCCCTCCCTCCTCGCCCCTCTCATCTTTCTCGGTCGCTCTCCACGTTCGTTTGCGCCGGTGCAGACGACAGCTTCTTAAGCACAAGATACTCTGCATGCCCGCGCCCCGCGCCCCGCTCCCCGCAGCTCTCCCCCGCAGGCCTCTGCCAGTGTCCGTCGGCCGCAGTAGACAAGCGTTACCGCTTTCTAAATGCAAGTAGCCGTCTGTTGTAGCTCAGGCCCTAACACCCAAATCGCGCGCGTGGAAATTGCATTGTTCGCCGTATCCAGCAGCCGCGCGGCGGCAGCGCACGCGGCACGCGACGCTGGCTGAATGCTGTGATGCGTGATATGCTCATTTTTTGAAGAACCGGGGGCCTGATGTGGGCTGACGATGTCTACGCATCGACGTGGCGCGTTATATATAGTATAAATATAATTATGTATACAGCATATATATATGTGTCGCAGCTAGAAGTAAGAGTGGCTGCGCATCGACCAACGACGGTTTTTTTCCGTGCAAGCTATTGTCAACCGACGGCGTTATGTCACTATTACTCCGATATATATATGATATTATAATAATAATATATATATTATAGTATATATATATATGATATAGTATTATATATAGGCGGGCGTTGACGGGGGGGCGCGCGCCCATAGCTGTTTGTGGCTGGCCCGCAAAAATGAATCGATATTTGTGTCTCGGAGCTAAACCGCGAGGGAAGCTTGTAATGAGTGGTCATTGACAGTGATAATGCTGGTGACAGCGACACACGCGTGTCCTCGTGCGTTGTGACCGAATCATGCATGCGCGGTATTGTGTCTCTGATCGCATGTCTCATTTTGTTGGGTGGTGTCGTCGTCTCTTACTTTTGTCTCTCTCTGTTCTCCGTCATGCGCCCGCTTTCTCTCTCTCTCCTCGCTCGCCATCTTTCTCCCTCATCCGCGTTTCTCTCTCTCTTCTCCTCCCTCCCCTCTTTCTCTCGGTCTCTCTCTCAAGTCTCTCTCTGTCTTCTCTCTCTCTCAGTCTCGTCTCTCTCTCTCATCATCTCTTCTCTCTTCTCGTCTCCTTCTTCTCCTCAGTCCTCTCTCTCTCTCTCTCTCTCTC